CCCAAACATGGGCATCTGGAAGCCAAAATTTGGAATTTATTATCTATTTCATATTTTGTAAAACTTTTAACGAATTTTTGATTAACGAATTCAACGATTTCAAAGCGAGTAATGGCAACATCGTACGGGGGGAGGGAATTATCTCCAGCGCGTTAAAATTATTTTGCGATATTGCTGTTGAACTGAATTTTATGGTTAAGTGCGAAGAGCATGTTATTTCATAAATAAATGTAACTCACAAAACGTTAAAAAAAAAAAAAAAAAAAAACTTTGGGCGTAATATAAAATTTGAAAGGCCTTCAGATTTTTTTTTTAACCTTAGAAGTTGGCGAACAGTTAGTTTAAAAAGCAGATTAATCAGACGCAGTCATATCGGATACAATACGGACAGAGAGCTTTATTTTCATCGCAAATGTCCACATGAAATAAACTAAGAATTTTACGCGGAATACTTTCACTGAATAGGTACACGCTATTTGGTAATCATTCTTAAAGCATTACAGATCACACAAATTTAAAATAAAGAGGCAAAAACTGCTAAAAAAAATCGGTAGGCAAGCGGCACGGGCATTTTCTTTATCAGGCCCGAGAATTTTTAAGATTTATTTTATAAAAACATATTCATATTTCCGCAGGGCTGTCATAAGCAGATTTTCGCAATAAAATTTTTTTCTTTCATTTTTTTACAAAGTAACAGGATTAGCAGAATTAAATAGAGTATAAAGGGTATTTGTCTTTAATAACTTATTTTTAATGACAAATACATTATACATCCTAACCACGTTTAATTTAAAATCATTTTGGAGAAGAATAGGGAATAATTATTAATAAATTGAATAATAACATGCAGTTTAATTCTCCAATTTTTTTATCTGATCAGCGTCATTATACTAATAGTCAATTACTCAAATTATTTAATTACACACTTATGACCAGTTATATAGATCCTGCTTTTCACTTAATCAAAATACAGTCAAAAGTCTTTAATCCAGACTCGTCGGGACTTCAGCTATTCTGGATTATAGATCATCAGTTTAAATCTGGTAGGATGGCATGCAGAAATTATAAAATTAAAAATATGAAACCGTAATTTATGAAATAAAGAACAATTACGATCTAAAGAGTATCAAAATTTACCAAAAAAAAAAAAAAAAAAAAAAAAAAAAAAAAAAAAGGCTTAACATTTGTTTACTTTATTAAAAATTTCTTTCAACGCGCGCATGCGTAAAGCATACATTACGCATAGTCGAAATTAGAAAATTGCAACCAGAAAACTATTTGATGTGTATTCGTGATATTTATAATGAATTTGATTTTAAATCATATCAACGACAGATACATTTAGTAATGAATTATAAGCCGAATAAAATAAAAACATCTGCCCTGAAGATAAGGATAGTGCTGACAAATCAACTTCCAGTTCATTGCGCGCCGCGACGTTCCCCTTCCCCGCAGAGCAGCGTAAAATTGATAAACAGATTTCGGAATGGTTAGAGAAACAAAGGATATGCCTTTATCCATTTTTTGCAGCAATTCCATATTTTGTTTGATGGACATCGAAACAAGCTTTCGCTTTGTAGATCCTTTGGCAGCTCCAGCATCGGAAATTCTATTTGACATAATCGAAAGTTCAAGCTTACTTTTATAAACTGCTCTTACAGTCTGCAAAAAATAATAAGCCGGATCCAATTCGAAGATTAAGGAACAACACAATCTGCAACATTAACTGAAATAGATAATTAGATAATAATTTTAGCTTAGCTTATACCGTCCGTTATACGTATTATGAGCATGTGTACACGCATATGCGCATGCATAAAGGTATTACGCGCATGCGTGAACGCATTATGCGTTGACGCATGCGCATAAAGTTTGTAGCTTTGAGGTCTGGATTAACGACTTTTGACTGTAAAACTACAATTTTAAATAACTCTCTAACATCATAAATCTTCTTACAAAAGTATATTATATTAAATTTACTTACATTTGAAATAAAGAGACAATAATTTACTGAAATAAAATGTGAAAAGTTTTTAATTTATTCTAAATAATATTATACTATACAAGATAAACACTGGAGACAAAAATACAAAAGGACAAACGTGTTCTTCAATTTAATAATGAAATAATATACAAGATACCACTACCATGAAACTGCTTTAAAAAGCATTGAAAATCAACAAAAAATAAATTGTTCAAAATCTATAACCTTTTTAAAGGTAAAATAACAAAACGCCGCAATGCTGCACCAATATAAACAACATTCATAAAATTAGGAGATGTTCCAAGAAAGATTAAGGTGACAACATATTCCCAAGGGCTATTTCCTCAAAAAAATAATATCTTAGAAAAAAAGTGAGGGAGAGGTTATGCTTGAACATATATGCTGATAAATGAAACTAAATAATAATTTTGTACTAAATTTTTAAAATAATACAGCTTGTATGCTGCCAAAGATTTACAGTATAATTAAAGGTCCAAAATTTCTGTCGTAGTTTGGCTAAAGAAAGTCTTAGGGAACTGTTTAATTTGTCGGAAATACACAGTAAAGCCAGTGAAACAAACGACAGCTCAGTTACTTAGAGACCGAATTGTTGAAACTCCACCTTTCTATGTTAAAGGTGTGGATTTCACAGGTCCAGTTTACATAAGTCTGGAAACGACATTCAGAAATCATACATCGTATTGTTTACGTGCGCTGTTGCACGAGCGTTACATCTAGAGCTCATTTCCAATATGTCTGCAAACAAATTCATTTCGGCTCTCACACGTTTCATTTCGAAAATAGGAAACTATCGCACCTTTTATTCAGATAACGCGAAAACTTTCAAAATTACTTCAATTAGAATTAGATCAACCTTTCGCAATATGTTGCATCTTTGCCGGGAACCTTTGGCCAATTTAGAAGTTTGTGTTTTTTTAATTTTGGATAGCATTTTATGCGAAGACAGCCAAGGTAAGCCTGTATTTCTTATTTTGATATAATATGGAAGATCTTATTGCTAAACTGAAATCAAAACGTAAGGTATTGAGGACCGCAGTGTCCAAGATATTAAAGAAAATTGAAACCGAACTGAGTAAAGATGACAGTAGTATAAATGTAAATGTATTAGAAGAAATTTTAGACCAGTTAAACAAAAAATCAAAAGCTTGTGCATCATATCTCAACTTCACTGGCCTAGAAAATGAAAATTAGTTACGTTTTGGTTTCAAATAATTGCTAATTTGTAAACAATGTCTATCAAAGAACACTACTTTAACGTGACTCTATTAAAAATTGCAGGAAATTCCAATTAAAAGCCTTTTCACATTAAAAGTCATTAACTTTTATTTAAAATATTATAAATTTATTTTCTTAAGGAACAAGGATTCCCTTTATTCACAGCCAGACACTTATTGAATGACTATTACTGAGAATCGCAACATCATTTACAAAAATCTATCGTTCAAATAGATTACTTGAAAAACTATTTCATCGGGTAATTATTATCATTAAAATTCTATTCTTTTACAAATCATAGAACAAAGCAGCATTTATTTCAGATAAAATGTCATAAGTATGTTTTTGAAATGCTAATGAGACAAGATATTTTTCAAATTGGTAGGAAAAACAATTCTTGTTACATTTTTAATTACTTCGTATTCAAAGAGAAATTTCCATACTGCAAATACATATCAACTGTTTTAAAAAAAGTTCTGTTCGGATTATAACCCCCACATAAAAACTCATCAGCTTCAACTTCTCTTACCTAATTTCTAAATTCTATTGCCAAACTATAAATGACTATATTAAGAGATTGAATTCCATAAAAACTGAAAATGCACTTTAATAAAATCCTCATTTTAAGTTTCACTTCCACTAGTTAGTCACAGAAGTTAGGAAATAAATAATGTGATGCATATTACAAATCTTTTTCTTGGAAATTTGCATATATTTAGCTGAAAAGTCATGTTGAAGAAATATGAAAAATAAAATTCCCCTTTTATGAATACATTCCTCCCTCATTCTCCCAAAAAAGAAACCTTCCAGAAAATCTGATAAAACTTAAAAAAAGAAAAAAGAAAAAAAAAGAAAAAAAAAAAAAAAAAGTGTCATACTATTCATAATTTACATCTACCGATATTTATGAAATTACATCTGAAAGCTCCAGTAATCTAACGATCCAAGAATTTACATATCTTAATTAAGGTGATTCTTATGTGAATTTATGTTTGAAAGCTGTAATTCAAGTGTAAAAGTATCAAAGTATTACTAAGCCCAATAGCAAATACCAGTTTGATTACATTATTCTTCAATTAGTAAGCGAGTGCAATACCAATAAGGAAATTAATATTCATGAAACAAAATTGTTTGAAATATGCTTAGCATCATACAGCAGTAACTAAGATATGCACAGATGGATTTTAGATTACATCAATATAAGATACAGAAAAATCTGCAATCTATTAACAGGAAATCTAAATGAGAAGGAACTCTTTAAACAAATGCTTGACTGCAAAACAAATTAAGAAAATATACTGAAATATACATGTAGGTGAAACATAATTAAAAAGTTTCATGATGTAATTAAGAATAATATCAGTTTCATGGTAGATAAATTGCATGTGTACCACAGCCTGAGTAAAATCGATGTATAGCTTTCACAAGAGAAATTTTACAATATGATTAATACTATTTCTTTTATCAATTACTATATCACCAATCCTTAAATGACTGGAGAACATGAACACATTCTGGCACACAATTTCATCTAGTAAATTGCTACTGAAAGAAAAAAATAGGACATACCACTCAAATAAATGCATTTATAGATTTTTTTATGAGGTAAAATGATGGTGATCATTGCTATACTTAATTAAGCACTTTAAACTACATATAAGAATACTCTGAAAATACTATTTCAAAATATATGCAAAAAGAACATATGCATTATGTTTTATAATATATTTTTTTTTGGAAATAAGTTTGAGCTAACATGTTAAATAAATTTATAACAAACTTATGATACAGAATTCTTTTATTACATGCGAAGATGCATTTTATAAAGAAGACTTCCCACAGAAATCCTCTTCTACTATTTGTATGAAACTTGCTCTTAAGTAAACAACTTACTTGAAAGTCGATAAAATTTTTAGCATCATATTTCTAGAATTTTAGAGCACTTCTCTGCACCCCCAAAAATTTAATTTTTATAATAAAGAATATCATTAATGGACTTCTCATTTACTCACTCAGTTTTTTGAATTACCACATGTCTAATTTTACCATCTTAAGTTTCATCTCGAAAAATTCAACATTGGAAATATACTAAAAGTGTAAAGATCAAAATAATACACTCACTATGCAGTAAATAAAATCATTTGGATTGTTATTATGATACAAGTCAAATACATACATATATATAATATACACTTGTGTGCCAAAAAAGAGAATTTACAAATTATGTCTATTTTAATGAAAAGTATTGAACCAAACATACTAATTATGCTCGAAAGAATTATGCAAATATTCAGAGTTGAATACGTAAGTGCACACATGCGTGGATGCCATTGCAACACATCCTTACATAAAATTACTTTTGAATGGTACACATCTTTCTCTGTTATAAATGTATATTCATATCAAATTTCATTAAAATCTGTCCAGACGTTTTCAGAAACTCAACACAATGTGCAAATTCTCTTAATTCTGCATAGAAGTGCATTTATACATATATATAAAAAGAGAGAGAGAAAACATGCTGTTTGAATGATGACACATACATAACAAAACATTTTAAAAAACATTAAATATCTCTTGAACAGTTGGCCAGATAATTTTAGTCACATTAAAATTTTTTATTAAATAAAAATTTATACAAAATTTAAAAAAATTATAACTCTCTATAAAGAAACTTTTAAAGTAGTCTAAGAGTTCTACAGTCTATTAAAAAAATACAATCCTATGTCAAGAAATTTTTAATATAAAAGTAGTTAAAGATCTTAAATCTCTAACATGAAAAACTAATTGGCAAAATTCTGATTTAAATTATTTCTACTAAAAGGAATTCATTTAGGATTTGCTTTCACTAAATAAAAATTTCAAATTTCTACACAACTACAAACGATAATTGAAACTATTATTTCTAATGTCTTTCATGTAAAAGAAATCCTTTAGGAGTTCATATTTGAAAATATAATATGCATAGCTGTTTACAGTAATATTTGTACATAACTGCCCAAAATTTTAACTGATTCTTGGATAATTTTAAAAGTATAAGAACATTTTTTTTAACTAATCTAATTATAGAAAATACATTTATCACTGACACTTTCATGCTACAGGACTTGCATAAGAAATTGTTTTGTTCATTTTATTAAAAAGTATCGAAATTATTATAGTATGCATGCTTACTGTATTTAATTATTTCTTAAACAGAAACAACAGGTCTATATCCAAATACGCAAAAGATATTTAATCGTGCAATCCTTGTTAGACTGCTACTTTAGGACATTATAAGTCCAAATTTCCAAAAACAAAAGCTTTATTACTTACTTTCAACAGCAAGGAAAAAAAGAGTAATCTGAAAATTTTAAATATTTTTAAATCGGGCTTATAATAATAAATTATTTTTACACCCTTCCTGCCTAACTTTCAGCCTTCCTGACAATTCAATCCTGCACACTTTAAAACTCGTAAAATAAAAGTTTAATACTTTGACAAAAATCTCAAAATATATAACTTCCAGCAATTTAAAATACTTGCCACTAGCAAGCTCAATGATTCACCAACTTATACTGCTCCATATGAAACATAAGGCATTTCTTTCCACAGAGCATCTGCATGATCAGCTGCTGCATGCTATTTACATTTCCTTGAAGTCTTTTAAATAAAATTTTATAAGTTTTAAAATAAAGTACTCATACCTAAACATTACCAATATATTATATTATTAATTAATATACTTCATCTCATAACCATAACTACAAACACAACTTATTCCTGTACCTGAGACATCAGCTCTATAAAAAATATTTAGACCAAACTTCAAAGAATTGTTAACACATCTCTATTAAGCCGCATTCCTAACTACCTTCCCTACAGAACAATTCTTGTCATGGTGCAAGCACCGAGATCAGCACATAAATGTATATTATATGCTACTTGAATAGAATGAAAGTCAGCTTCAAATTACATAAGTTTTCAAATTTTGTTTGGATTTCTAATAACCTATTATGTGCAATATTTACATTATATTTCACTGAATGCAAAATTTAGAAAAAGTTTTCTATGCCAAAGTCACATTCTTTTAGAAATTGAGAGAAATAACTATTTTTTGAAGCAAATATAGATGTATGTTCATCAACAGCATAGCAACTTTGGTATATCATTTTTAATAGATATTAATTAGTTTTATTATTTTTTCATTTATTTAACATGACTTTAAGTAAATACACAATTATGAATTCTCCTACTTGATTTAATGCTTATATTTAATATTTTTTATAAAACAGAGTAGATACTACAATCAAAATGATAACACATGGAAAATCTGCATGCAATAATTTTTCTTCCAGAGGTGGTGAAGGAGAAACTATGTCAGCTGCTCTCAGAATCAACAGCTTTATTGTATGTAAATCTACTCTATATATTTATATATTGCCTAATTTTACACATGGACGTAATTGTAATCACTAAACCTGGCAAATTTTAATTTGAAGAAAATTTTGTAAGTCATAATAGTTATAAATAGAGTACCATGTAAAATGCTTTAATGGTGTTATGTAAAATAGCTAAATTTTTTGCTTTATATATAGAACACGTGTGAAATGAGAATTTCGCTAAAAGTAACACATTTTCTTCATTATATTTCAATCAAAATAAAATGCATCATAATACAGTAAAATCTCTTTCAACCGGTAGCAACAAGACCTTGCCGATTCCGGATAAGAGGTTTTTCCAGATAACTGAATATGTATTTTTAAACCTTACTTGGTCTCATTTTGTGCAGCTATCTGTAGAAATTGTAACATGTGAAGTCCATTTAGTCATGACATTTTAATCTATTGGCAATGATTAAATAAATAATATAAAAAATTGTACAGATTATTTAAAATTAAAATACATACATGAGTTTACATTTCACGAAAGGCAAAACTATGCAATATTTTAAAATTAGCCTAAGAAAATCACAAATTTCTTTATTTAATACCATATAACTTTGATGTCTCCCTGTTTACAAAACTGCTGTAAAAATTGTAAAAATCTGCTGTGTATACACTGAAGCTTCATATCACCATACGTTGACACAGCTTTTCGGCAACCTTTATTAAAGACTGTAATCCTTTGTCAACTTCCTTCCACGTGACTTTCATGCTCTGCATGTTATTTTGATTTTCATCCTCCTCATCATCTTTCTCTTTTCCTAGTGCATGTCAGATTACTTCATTATCATCTTGGCAGAGTGTGAGGGAAATAGAATTGTCTACTCGCACCTCCTCTTCACTAATAATAATTTTCTTCAAACAGGTAAAAAAGTCCAAAATGTTGGACACTGTTTTAAAACTTAAGAGAATCATCATCAATCGACTTGTCATCCACGAATATGATCACAGGCCACAATTTAAACCAACAATGAAGTAAAGCAATGCTCTTCACATTTTTCCAAGCAACAAAGTAAATGAGACTTCTTTTAACGAGATTTTTTTTTTAATTGTGGACACTTCATTAAATTTCAAAGTTCTGTTCTGGATAATTCCTTGTTTTATCGGTTTAATCAAATTTGTTGCTGCACTGGGTGGCAAAAGCATACACAATTTTTTTCCACATTTAAATGTTGTTAGCCCATTACTCATTTTTCTTTCTTTTTTTTTTTTTTTAAAAATCTCAGGCCTTAATTTTGGATTTAAATTTAGACCTTCAAAAGTGTCAATGTTTGTTGTTACCAGTAAATTTAGTGCCAGTTGCAAGAAATTTAAATATGTTATGTAATTTAACATTTACTGTAAGGAAAACAATACTTGCACTTATTTCTGAGTTCACTAAATAAACCCAAAATTTTGGAAATGTAAATCACTTTGCATGTCAGGATTTTACAATGAATGTTCAGGACGTAAGTTCCCAGATTTTGGAGTAACATCTTTTTGGTCCCCCCCCCTCCCCAAAAAAAAAGAAAGAAAGAAGAAGCATTTACTTAGAAAAATTAATAATTTTTGTCTCTGGCAAATTATCAGTCTCAATTACTGAAATTCTGAATTATCCATAATTGAATAATAGAGGTTCTACTTCAGCCATGATAAAATCAAATTTAATAATCTAATTTAGGAATAATTCTTGTTATCTGCACATTATTAAAGCAAAATGTTTCCTGGTAATATATATGGTAAACATGGTAATATATAACATTCAACACAAACAGTTCATGGTAGTTATAAATACCCTACCATTCAAAATATTAAATCTCTCCTACAGATTGTCCTACGATGCAAATATTTTTTTCATACTACATAAAATAATAATTAAAAAATAAAAATGCATGAGGAACAGAAGTGAATAAGAAACATGACATTCTATTATTAGACTGCAAATAAAGACATAAAATGGCCTCCAATTATTTGAAAATTTAAAAGACTAGCAATTTCAACCTTAATAATAATAAAATTACCTCTTCAGATACAATATGAAATTAACCAAAATGTAGAAATAACTATGAAGCTTTTGCGACTAATGGAAAATGGATTCAAAATGACTTAATTTAATGAAATTATTTCCCAGAGCAAATGAAAAATGGTTATTCCCCATAGCATGTAATGATACTCAATTCATAAGACTTTAATTTTCTAAAAACCAGTGCAGAACCTGCAATCCAATTAGTCACTCTAATTTTAAAATAATTCAGAATCTGCCATTTATAACTTTATTTTTTAAATGTATTCTACTGCTCGAAGTATTTAGACTTCTTAAGGCAAAGATGCTGCTTAAACTAAATTTCATTTAATTTACAACAGAATCTTGAACTAAATAAATAGTATGCATTTATTACAGTATTTATAAATAGTAAAGTTAACAACTTAGATAAAAGTAAATTATTTTGAAGACAATTAGATTTTCTGCAGCTTTATATTACCTATTTATTACTTTATTTTCTCTACTTTCTAGCAATCTTCTGAATAGCAAATTTGCATCAGTTTTTTTTCGGGGGCCAGGGGGGGGGGAATTCAAGGCTGGTACTTAAAAAGCTCAATGACTGATATTTAAATGTTACTAAAAATCTATGGCTATGTTATCAATAATCTAAGTAAAATCTTTATGCTTTTCACACTGTTTATGTAACTTTTTCTATTAAATATTATGCAACAGAGTTTGATCCATAAGGGAATGATGAATGGAAATTATTTTTTTCATCATGCATTCAAAGTTTTAATCAACTACTTGGTGCAGAGCAACCTACTTTCCTGTTTTTGTACTTAAAAAAAAAAAAAAAAAAAAAAAAAAAAAAAAGAAGATAACTTCCATGTGCTTAATAAATGATAATGAAAAAAAACTTTTATGATACTTACCATTTATGAATTAATAAAAAAACTGAGTAACATTTATGATATAGCTATCACTTAGATGACTTATCCCTATTAATATATTGTTACAATTTAAAAAATTAAAAATCGCAATAGAACAAATTTACATCTGTATCAAACATTAAAAATTAAGAGGCAACTTTCAGTTCAGTTATAACACTACAATGATCTGTCAGTTACTGCTTTTTCTGCTTCTGAGATATCTGGCACATTACATCTCCTTTCAAGAATTTCTTTTAACATGATAAATTTCATAGGATTCCCAGAAATTCTTTTAAAATGGAATAACTGTGTTAAAATATAACTCTGCATTAATTCTCTTTTCCAGTTACTTTTTAATTTACATAAAAAATTTAGTGATTCTGACTGAACATTACATAACATTAAAAATTCAAGAACAAGATAAACATACTTATGCAAAGATTGTACAGGTCAATATGCAGTTATTTAACACTGAAAATTCAAGTCCTCAGAAGAGGGGGTGTCTAAATATAATTTTGCAGATGATTTTTTCCCCAAGTTAACAATTACATATTAAACAAATTCTTCACATGCATTCTTCCCAAAAAAATTTTAATTCTTAAATGCTACCCTATTACAAATTTCAATACACATACAGAGCTCTCTTCACATACTTTTTAATCATAAGAGTACACAAAATACTAATCTTTAGATATAAAATCTAAACAACTATCCCAGCCATAACTTCATAAGGAGATTCACTTGACACACTATATTATAACAAAGAATTTAATATACACAGCAAATTTAAGCATTGCTTTGATACTGCTCATACTATTTAATTGCATTTTTAAAAAAGTTGACATATTTTAAATTTGTATAAGACTGTATGTTTCATATATCATCATATCACTCTTTTTTAAACACACACACAAATAAAAAATGTAGAGCATGAAGTGACTCAGCCCACTCTTTCTGAGTTATTAGTTTAAGTATTATTTATATCAAATTAAACCAAAAGATATCTTTTAACAGATTTAAAAACAAAAGAAATTCAAAAATACAATACTGGCCAAAATACAAGACAAGTTATTTTTTTCCTACAATGAAAACTATATCCATATTACATGAAAAATCTAACAAATATAAATTATATTAAAATAATGTATCTCTTAAATCTGATGTAAAGAAAAAATACAATTATTTAATTTCAACACAAATATGATATTCAGAGATTTAAGTACTTAAAATATCTTCTTATCACACTCATATATATATTTCTTCGTGTAAACTGAAAAATGTAGATTGTAAAAACTCTTACTCCTTGTAAAGCACTATCAAAGTTACAGGATCATCTTACATAAGGAATCATCTTATATTTGGAATAATATAGTATTAGATACATTATTTTTTCCTATTATGAAAGCAGAAAATTATTTACATTTACTTTAATATACCTAAAAGCATTTAATAAATACCATACCTAAAAAAAAAAATTAACTATATGATGATAGTTCATACAAGATAAAAATGAATGACTAATAAAAAGGTAAAACAATTTCAGGTAACTATGCTAAAAAACTGCAGTCTTATGGAGTTTACAAAAAACACTATCAAATGCAATGCTCAACTTATTTGTTAATTTTCAATATCCAAGAGAATTACTAGCATATTTATGCAACTTTTAACATTAAAATATGCCTTTTTAGAAACTTACAAGTATTTTTTTTTCTAACAAAAAATAGCATTCAGGCCCACTTATCAAAACTTGGAAGATACGTTTATGTTTTTTCCTAGCATTAAGAACATTTTTAAATATATAAACAAGAGAAAATAATTGTGTTCCACTTTTTTATTATTGATTACAAATTCAGTGTCTTTTATAATAAATTACAATTACAGTGACATTTTTTAATGAACAATGAAAATATATTTTATGATACAAAAGCATGTAAAATCAGCAGCTTTTTTTGGGGGGCGAAGGAAAACACATTTTCTGTTTAACACATCTAAACAAACTTAAAATATACAATTAAAAGTTTTTAAATATTTTAAATCATACAAACAGTATGATAATAGCACAATGAAGCCATATATTTAAAAGTAATAATTAAATCTCTGTTTTCTGCATAATTTCTTATAGCTGACTCTAAACATTCTATGTTTTTTTAAGAAATAAAAAACATTAAGTTGAAAGAATTTTGATCTGATCATAATATTTAAAACTGAGAAATCATTACCGAGTTCCTTTATTTCACAGAATAGTTCTGATGTATCTGTTTTTAGTTCCCTGTTGATACTGTACTATCAGTAGGCCCCCTTTTCATAATACATATGTATTTTTAATTCACAATAATAAGAATTTCAAAATTTTTCAAATATTTTTCAAGCAACACAGAAGGATTTTACAGTTTTTAATGGTTGAAGTGAATAGCATATGAATGACAATTTGAAACCTTAAAAAGCATTCTGAATGTCGAGCAAAGTTTAACCAATAAACAAATTCAATTTATTTTATAACTGAAGATTTTTCAAGTAACATCAGTCTTTTTATCTCTTGAATATGAAACTTCACTAGAGATTACACATCACAAACACTCTATACAATTACAGAGATACAATACGTTTATATGAATATATCATTCAGAAATGAGCACATTATGGTTATAAAATTGCTTTCATATCAAAAGAATGAGGTAGATAGAGAGCTGAAATTCAAAAGAAGATTCCAGCAGAGGAACCCGCTATATTATTCATTTTTGTGCATATAAAGGATTTTTTAAACTGAAAATTAATTTTTAATAGATGTAAAACTTCAAAAAGGATTTCAGCAGATAAATCCACCAGTTCTTTCTTTTTATAAAAAATAACTGTTTCAAATTTGAAAATTAATTATTTATAGATGGAAAGCATAATGTCTGATTAATTATTAATAAATGGAAAACAATATAGTAAGTTTTATAACAAACAAATAATAACAAAGTATCTTAAATGGTTTAAATACTAAATTAAAAATTTTATTATTGTTGGAATGAAGAAATTACACTCATTCCATACTGGAACTTGTTTTTAAGACAGTACTGCCCACAGGTGGATTTTTCAATGCCAAATCATAAAAATATAGCTCTAAAGTTTCTTTGAATAAAAGAAATTTCTTGAAAGTGATAGTATAAATAAGCAATGCAGAATTTACTTAAAAATTGCAAATATTAATAGATGGTGTTGCAATACAGAATGCAATAGAAAAATATCTTTCAAATAAAACTAAATCAAAAGCATCTTCCATATACAATTCTATACTTTTTGGACTCTTTGCATACTAAAAAATGAAAAAAATGAAGAGATGCTAGTTTAAAAAGACAGTGTGATTTATTAAATTCTGAGCAACAGTTCTTTGTCAAAGCCTTATATAATTCTCATTTTTAGAAAAATTATATACATGTATCATGACATTCCATAAAATTAAAAATACACACATCAAATGCTCATTAGCTGAGGGATGGTTGTAATGATTCAATGACAAGCATATTTGAAGTATGTATGTCATGTCAGATCAGTTAAGAGTAATTATAAATCAAAATCTTCCATATATAATAAAAGAATGAAGTTAAAACTGCATTTTGCACTACATTTCCTCCCAAACAGTATAAATATATCAAGACTGGAGCAATAGTTCATTAACTCCACCCTAAAAACATGACCTGCTTATAATAAATAAATCTCTCTAAACTGCATCATTTCAAAATCAATTATCATTATTTGATTCTTACATAAAACTCAAGATGCAGATACCTTACGTAAGGCTTCAAAAATAATAATTTCAGAAGCTTAAATATTAACCAATCAAGATGGAGCAAACTGGAACTAACATTGTAATATAAAATCGAATCACTCTGAACTCAGTTTTCATATTAGACATGTTGTATTTTAGTTCATTCGTAACTAACTTGTTTTGACTGTCTAGAAAACAAGAAAGAAATTATATTTCAAAATTGCAACGATATCAAGGCAGTGCTTCAAAAGCAGGCAATTACTGCAACTGTGTTAACTAATGAAGATGTTTATGAATGAAAACAAAAAGAAATGTTTAACCAGCCTTGATGGCTGCAACTGTGTCTTTATGCTTCAACATGCTACTAATATCCAAATCATTACATTTTATTTTAGCTAGTAAGATTCAAACTGGCACAGGGAAACCCTAATGAATTACTTGAAGAAATAATTTGGAATGTTGAAGACAGATGTAGATGTGCAAATAAGTAGTTGCAGTCAAATTTTAAGTCATGACCCAGTTAAGACAATGGACTTGAAATCTATTGGAGTTTTCCTGTGCACTCAAGAAATAATTTGGAATGTTGAAGACAGATGTAGATGTATAAATACATAGCTGCTGTCAAATGATAGCAGTTGTGTCCAAGTAGTTAATACAACAGACTTGGAATCCATTGTGGTTTTTCTCACATAGATTCAAATCCTACCAGCTAACATAAAATGTAATGATCTGCATGCTGCCAATGTGAAGCATAAATGTCTTTAAAACAAGTTGCAGTCATCAAGGGGTCAAAAATTCTTTTAATCTTTGCTGACAAATATTTTCATAAGCCAACACAGATAAACTGCAGTTTGTGCCTGTTTTTGAAGAACTATGTCGGTAATGCTACAGATTTGAAATATAACTCTGGAAGACCGAAGCAGCAGGCTAATTAGCTAGGAAGCAGACAGCAAAATTCAAAGCGACTCGAGTTTTGGTTTATGATGTCAGTTTCAGTTTGCCTTATTTTGATTGATTAATATTTAAGCTTCTAAAATTATTACTAGCTGGAGTCTTACATAAGTTATCTGTATCATGAGCTTTATGTGAGAGTCATACGATAGCTATTAATCTTGAAATGATGCAGTTTAGAGATATTAACTATATGCAGATACTATTTTTTAGAATAGAAAGGTTAAAAAAAAAAAAATACCCCCGCTTAAAATAGTTAACAGACTATTCCAAATTATAGTTAGAATTTTGTTTTTCATATTTTTATCTTGCATATATAATATTTCTAACTAAGAAAATACGGAACCTGATTTTTAATATTTATGATGACAAATTGCGAAAGAAATGAAAATAAAAAGTAACTTTTTAGCTTAAAAATAATCTCAGACTTTTGGTTTTAAAAATTTTACAGTTAAATTGTAAATTTGACAAGAAAAATGCCTAAACATATTCTAAATATGACTTATATTACATTAACATGTTTAATTATTCTTTTACTCAGCCCAAAATCAAATACATTTATCCTTAATACTGTTTAATTTTAAAAATATTTAGGTAATCAAATTTTTCAAATATGTTCATATTATCAATTTGCTTCTTCATAACCCCTTTAATGCCACTCAGACCTGCAACATACATTTAGGTCTAATCAATACCTTTGTTAGGAAACTACGTTTTACATCAATAAAATACGTTCTTCATATAGTTTCAATGCATTATATAAGTTTATAAATAAATTTAATAAGTTTTTTAAATAAGAAACATTAAATAAAAAACAAAAATATTTTAACAATTTTTGGGAGGTTATTACTCTAAATGAAACTGAGAACATTTAACTTTAAATACAGCACGCTGAAAAGACTTTATATTTTAGGTATTCAAAATGTTTAAATATATAAGACAAATATAGGTAGTATTTAAGATAGCCATCTAAATTAAATGTATTATTTGGGGGGGGGATTGATTATGATAATTTGCTTTCATATTTATTAGTAGTTATTAAAAAAAATGCAAAAGAAAGGTAGTATTCAAAATACCCATTTAAATTCAATGTTAAAAAAGTTAAAAAAGGAATATGATTATTTGTTTGAATATGTTTTAAATAGCAATTTTAAAAAACAAATTAACAATGGTTTAATAAATTTTAATGAATACTGCTTCATATAATAAATGTAAATTTTAAATTAAAAGTTGAAAACTTACTAAAATGGGTAATCACTATCAAAATACAAATAAGCAACATTTGTATTTTCTTTTTCTCATATCATGAATTTAGCTGGTTCAAAGATAATATCAGCTTTTAAATCAAGCAAAATCTACTCATGCCATATCACATCTCATTATACTCAGTGAAGAAAAGTTATTAAATAAAGATTTTAAAAGATGCATTTATTGTGGGAGAAAATATTTCAAATCTATATACAGCATTTATCAAGTCATATTTAGTATATGCAGGCAAAATATTGAAAGTGAATTGAATATATATCTACATTCGAATTTCAGAAAAATAAAGCATATAGAACAAATTAGCAACACATTTGAATTTTTTTTTAAAGGAGGAGATGTGCAAAATACTTGAAATGAATAACAGCCATTATTAGTAATAATAAAACAGTAATGTTAATTGAATTTGCAAGGGAGGTAAAAATTTTGTTCTTTGTTTATAAACATGATACATAACAAAAATATTTTTAAGTTAGAAACATATATGTTTAAAGCTGCCACCCAATTTTAAAATAATAAATTCATCACAAAAATAAGAATCTTTGATTTTAACAAAAGCTATTTACGGCCATATTCTTCTATGCATAGATGACAACTCCAAGAACCTATAAGAAACATTAAAATTTATACTTCTTCAAGAACATGATACCACACTAATGTAAAATAAATACAAAATAGTAACAGATATCAAAAAGAGATTAAATTTATTTTTAAGGATCCATTATGCCAGAAATATGTCACAAAATACAGTGGCATAGTAGTAACTGTAGATCAAATATGCCATTGAGTTATATGTTAATTTACTGATAATAACCACTGTATCCTAAAATAAAATCTAACTATACTTATAAATAATTATTAAATGCAAATTTTTAAAAAAAGTTTGTTCCGAGAATCCAAACTATTTTTTAAACAGTAAACGATGAAGGGAAAATAAACATTAAAAAATTCTAAAACAAACATTTCACAATATTTTCCCCCCACCTGCAAGATAATTAAACAAATGCAAGCAATTTTAATACATCATAATCAAACACAAAACATTTAACGATAATAATAGACAATTTTTATCCAATGTACTTTTGATTTAATGCACATTACAATTATTTTTAATTCAGCATCAATTTTACTTGCTTGTGTAAAATTATGTCAAAGAATTATGTAGAAGAACCACAATACAACTGTTTAAAAGTTTTCTCATTAAAAAAAAAAAAAAAAAAAAAAAAAATGAATGAATATAAAAATAATTTCTCTTATTAAATTTCTACATATCTGGCACCTGAATAACAGAAATCAAACTATTATGAAACTAAAATAATTCACATATTTTAATATTTAGCTTAATGAAATTATCAGCCAACATTCAGTAAAATATTCTCAGCATTCAGTACTTTATATTTTAGAAAAATAAAAATATTTGATGATAAATTTTGAAGCAATTAAATAATAAAATTTTAAGTTTAAAAGAAAATATAAGAAACAGCTCTGGCTGCTTTGGGACATAAAGTATTTTCTAAAGATATCTGATAAAACACTAATTTAAGAAAATTAATCAAACTTTTAACATACTACAGTTTTTATACCCATTTCCCCCTCCTCCCCCCCAAAAAAAAGCACTAAGAAGCAATATTTAAGTGAGCTTATTCATTAATTAATCTGGCAAAAATTTCATCTCCTTATAAATGAATGTTTAAGAATTTACAGTCATACTCAAAGCTTCTTACTTGGAGACTGATATTTCTGAAAAATACGGATTACCTATCCCAATTCTGCTATAAAAGTATGTAAATCAACAGAATTATAAAAGTTTAGAAATTTTATTATTATTTATAAATCTAACTGAATATAAAGTGCACATAAAATTTTACATATAATAATGGAAGTTTTAATGCCTTAAACAAAACTTGCTTGAATTAAATTCGATACTCCACCCATTTTCAGAGCTCTCATTATAATGGCATCAAAATATCAACAAATTCATCCTTACTTTTTGCATACAGTTCAGACTGCCATATTTTTGCAATTGCTTTTAAATACAATATCAAAGCATTTTCTTGCTCCAATTTTGCAACATGAATTCTGTAAAATGTGACTCACGATGATAATGAGCAGTGCCTTGTTGTTTTTTATTTCACCACTTAACAGAGTCTCACAATCTTTCAACTTTTTATGCAATAGCAACTGTGTCCCGATCCACAAAAATGTATGATTCATATAGAAGTGTACCCTGCTTTTTCCAATTCTTCTGTTTTATAAGCTTGCCAACAATCTGAACATATCATTGATCATTTAATACATGATCCACAATTTTCAACATGAGTAATGTTATTTCTCCATTCAAAACTTGAACAGGAAAGCATTCACTGATCAATCCAATTCTTTGCCCAAATACTTACTGTTGTGAAAGACCCTGCCAGCATTATTTCTCACACTATTCAACACATGTCAATTTCTCTGCACAAGAGTAAATAACTGCTGTTACAAATGGCATCCTGGAGTTATTAAACCCGCTGTCCACACATTTGCTCGCAATTTTTATATTGAACCTCCAAATGCTTTCATTTATATATAGTTTTATTGCGGGGAATATCTGTTAAAATGTTTCTTTCTTGCAAGAATGATGTAGCATCTTCCTCAGTGGTTGGTAAATTGAAAATTTTTTACATTTTTTTAAAGAACATTGAAACACAGCCTATTCACAGCTCTTATCATTCTAGGTCATCAGTAAATCAAAAACTGGTAACATATTTTTGAAAAAAGAAAACACAATAATACATGTGGCCTACTCATAACTTTTCCTTGTATGTTAGTACAGTCAAAAGTCTTTAATCCGGACTTGTCAGGACTTCGGCGATTCTGGATTATCGATTTTTCCGGATCATAGATCATCAGTTTAAATCTGGTAAGATGGCATGCAGAAATTATAAAATTAAAAATATGAAACCGTAATTTATGAAATAAAGAACAATTATGATCTAAAGGGTATGAAAATTTACAAAAAACAAACAAACAAAAAACAAACAAAAAAAAAAAAAAAAAAAAAAAGAAAGCTTAATTTTTATTTGTTTACTTTATCAAACATTTCTTTCAACGCGCGTATGCGTAAAGCATACATTACGCATAGTCGAAATTAGAAAATTGCAACCAGAAAACTATTTGATATGTATTTGTGATATTTATAATGACGAGGAATTTGATTTAAATCATATCAAAGATAGAGTATATCGAGATGAAATACTACATTTAGTAAGGAATTATAAGCCAAATAAAATAAAAGCATCTGCCCTGAAGATGAGGATAGTGCTGACAGATCAACTTTCTGTTCATTGTGCGCCGCCACGTCCCCCCCCCCCCCCCGCCTGCAGAGGAGCGTGAAATTGATAAACAGATTTCAGAATGGTTAGAGAAACAAAGAATATGCCATTGTCCATTTTTTGCAGCAATTCCACTTTTTGTTTGATGGACATTGAAACATGCTTTCTCTTTGTAGATCCTTTGGCAGCTCCAGAATCGGAAATTCTTTTTGACATAATCGAAAGTTCAAGCTTACTTTTATAAAATTGCTCTAACAGTCTGCAAAAAATAATAAGCCGGATCCAATTCGAAGATTAAGGAACAATGCAATCTGCAACATCAACTGAAATAGATAATTAGATAATTTTAGCTTAGCTTATACCGTCCGTTATACATTAAACGCACATGCGTTGAAAGTTTGTAGCTTTGAGATCCGGATTATAGATCATTCCGAATTATGGGCGTCCGGATTAACGACTTTTGACTGTATAAGTAAACATCAGTCCAGCTTTCAAACATAAGAAATAATGGTGAGTACAAGAGTTCTTGAAATTACTTTGCAAAATAAACAGCACTGCATACAACAGAAATTATCTTACAGACATGTAATACATATCTTAAAACTGATTTGCTTTTATTTTTTTTAATGCACTCAAAGGTTTACTCCTGCAGGCATTAAACAAAAAACACATGATCCCCCCCTCTCGACTAAGTGCAAGTAGCTTATATAAGAACTGCGGCTGGTGATTTATCACTAGTCTTGACAGCATTTAAAAACTGGCAGCCATAAAAATAAGAAAGTATCTTAAACTCATACAAATAAATTAAATGAATTAAAGTCATTACACTACATCAAGCCTACTAAAAATGGAGAATATTTAGGTTAGTATTATTAAATACAATATCAGTTTTAATAATATTGTGTTTTCCAAGTTGGCAGATTTAAAGTAATCTACTTGATGATGAATCGAAACACAATTTATTCATGAGTATGCACTATCACACAAGATAGTTCCAAAGACACGTTTACACTCACTGAAAAACTACAAAAAACATGCTGAAACAATCGGCAACACAGGCTATAACAGTGAAAATAGCTTCACAGCAAAGCACTACAGTACAGCTTCGAACTTGGACAATCACTCTCAAGGTAATCTCTGAATTCAAGACACTACCGTCTACCTGTACAGGCAGGGTATATATAAATTTAATCTACTTTCAAAAATATTCCCGAGAAAACTGCTAAGAATGGGTTCTAGAATGTTCTCACATCTATGCATGTTGCCAAATGGGTGATTTTGCGCCATATCTGGCAACCTTAAGCTTGCTTTGCAGGGAAGCTATCTCACCGCATAGCCACTAGGCATTTCACAACACTATTAAAATAAAAATATTAAAATTTGCAATTTTAATAGTAATTTAATCAATATTAGGGATTATTTAACAACAGAACTAACATACTATATAAAGAAATTTCGGTACCATTCGGTTTTGAGGGCCGTAAAAAAATGCCAAACAACTGTTGATGCCAGTGCTACCAAAAATAACTGCGGCAACCCTAACGCAAGAAAGGAAGTATAATAGTAAATAGTAAATAACTATCTAAGACTGATGTTTTAATTTAGATGAAAGGTTAACCTTTTGAGGCCGGGCTTTGATAGCAGTAAAAGCTACCAAAGGACGTGGAATCTTGAACCGAATGCTTTCCCTCCTTTAAGAAATTACCTCCTATTTGCAACAAAGATTCTTGTGTGTAGTTTAATGGATTCTCAGAGGGGTGCATATATGTCGCAAAAGGAAGAACTTTGAAAGAGATAAGTGGTTCAAACCGCAGGGACGTCAAATTTGAAATTTCACCCCACATTTTAGCCTGGAAAATGGGGGAAAATGACATGGCGACTAAAGTGGACAACCCCGTCTTTTTAAAGAGAGGAAGAGCAAAAGTAGTTCTTTGTTAATGCTATTAAAATTTGTAGAAATGATTTTATATTTGCATTGATATTGTTTATAAGTGTTTAAAGCTTGATTCTTGTTTGTTAAATGGTTATACTATAACTGAAAACAAAACTTGCTTTTGAAATAAATGTTACGTATTTTATTCCATCTGAGAGATTGTTGCCAAATAAAGATTTGTCCTTGAACAAAAGATATCACTCGTAAATAATGATTCTTAAGCATGATTCATACCTGAATTAGAGTATGTTTATCATAATGAATAATTTATTGAGATAAGCGGTGTCTGTTATTGCAAAATATATTGCTATTTTCCTTTTTATTTATAATAACTCTTATTTAGAATTTGTGTCGTATTAATATGCTTTCACTATTAATATGCTTTCATGTTCATTACTTTAAGAGTGAAAGATTAATGACATTGGCAGCTCAATACAACTAGTTTGGTAAATAAAAAATATTTTTATACCAGTGTGTAAAGAGTAATATATGATTAGAATTCTGTGAATTTTGATATTGCTTATGTGGAATTTTTGAAAGTATATTCCATTGCTATTAAATTAAACCCTCATTGCTTAAACTTGCATATAATTAATGCTAAGGATTGAATTTTACTCTTGTATTCGGTCATACTGTATTACATTTTAAATAATTAGTGTTGAAGATTTATGGCCACTATAATGGCCATCCCATCTTCAAAAGGTTAATTTCATATAATACTTTTGTATTATTATAATTTATATAAAAAAGGCTAAACATGACTGGATGGAAGCATAACAATAAATAACTATTTCAAATCATTATTATAATTTATATAAAAATTGCTAATCATAACTGAATGGATGCCTGCATCACTATTTCGCTATTGAGTTATCGCTAAAGCATAATTTCATCTCGTTCGTTGTTCAAATATAATTTTCTATAATGAATGATGCCTTTTCTTTGAAAAAATTCTTTGTAAAGTGCAGAATCGCCCACTTATTTGTTCGCAGCTTTTTACAAGGGCAAAAAAACAATTGGATTCTTGTCAATTTTCTTTACTTTTTAAGTGTGAAAATAGGTCGATGTGTACATAGATACAGTCAAGGGTGTATGCATGCCATTTTTGTGCAATTCTGGGACTTTTTTTTTTTTTAAGTGGAAATAGGTTGATGTGTACATAGATACATAGCATGTGAAATTCTTCAAAACGTGTCAAGCATTGGGTGATTCTGCACTTTACCCAAAATTCTATTGCAGACTTTTCGTCATGGGCAATTTCCAAATTGTTAAATCCATAGGATATCAAAATTAAACTAGTACTTCAATGGCATCTTAAGAAATATAGAACTAACTATATAAACTTATGCAATTTGAAATTAGCGCATACATTAAATTTGGAGCGCAATGTTAAATGGGCGCATTTGCTAGATTTGGCTCTTTTGCGCATACACTTTTGCTGCAATTTTTTTTACGGTCCTCAAAACGGAATAGTACCAAAATTTCAGTCAAGAATTAATGCAAGCAGATCAAATAATTCAGTTTATTACTACCAAACAGATGAAGTTCTAGGCAAACCTGTAATTTTTATAAGAACATAAGCCTATAAATTGAACAAATAAATTTTAAAAAAATTATATAAAAATTAAAACACAAATATACATAAACCTTTTTCTATTAATTTTTACTGTGCTGCACTCAATTCACATTTTGTTATTAGAAAATTACTATGCTTACCCTCAGGCGGTTCTGACAAAGGAGGAGTTAAACAATACATATGATACCCACGATCACAGTCATCACAAAATAATAACTGATCCTACATACAAAAAATGCAATGGGGATACAAATTAAATTACACTTTTTATGTAAATAAATAAATTGAAATGTTTGCATAATAAATTTTAATCACTACTTTGAAAACAATCTTGATAGAGAAAAGTTTTAAAAATAACTTACATCATTGTCTGAAGTTCCACAAATACCACAGGATTTACATTCAATACACTGCCATCGATATTTCTTCACAGAAGCAGTCATATTTGGTGTAAACTGCAAGCAGGTGGGATGTGCTAAAAATCACAATACATACTTGTCTCAAATTAAAATTTTGTATTAAAATAAATATGTAGATCAAAATTATTAGCACATAATTTGAAGAAAATATCTTTTCAATATTTAAATAAAGAGAATGCGAGAATTGAGTATAAGCTATAAAATACCCCCCGAAAAAAGAGCCACTGAGAAATACACATAAGTATATTGCAATTAAATTTCAAAAATGAGATGCATCATGCATATATATAAAAAAAAAAGTGAAAGATATATATTACATGTTTAATCCTTTTGAAAAAGATATGTGGATAAAACCCAAGACAGAAATTCTTTAAAAACAAATTCATTACTTTTGAAAATGAAATCATTTTTGGAAGTTACAACATTTACATCATCTTTTCATCCAATTTATGGGAACAGTCTCATGTTCAATAACCTGCAGTCGGAGCAAAATACACCATCTTGTGTACTTCCTCCACATAATATATTTTATAAGTACTTTTAATATTCAGATTAATTACTCTATAATTAAATATGATTTGGAGATATCAGTTCCATACATACATGGCTGTCCAAAATTATCTTCATATGGGGTAATAATAATAATTAAAAAAAAAAAAAAACTAAATTTAAAAAGGGGAAAAAAAATTATTGAACAAAATTAAATGACTTATTTGGAGTGATACATGATATTATGCCATATACCATATTTACTTGAACGGAAGCCTTTCTATTTTTACTATATTTTCTAAAACAATGATGCATTAATGAAATTGAGAAGTTTAATTATCATACTACATAGAATAATTACACCATTTAAATACTAAACAAACCACATAAGTAATTACCATACACTTAAACTGCATAACTACTGATAATTATAATGTCCACATTTAGTTGAGCTATTTCAATTTATGCCTGCATCAACTACACTGGTTACTGAAATGCCTGAAAATAAATGGGTAATAATGCATCATTAATTTTTCCTAATTTTTTTTTTCAATACCATAGTCAAATAATATATTGGTACTGTGAAACTGTAGCATGATTTAAAGTCAGTTGTGGATAAGTGTGAAATAACACACTAGCAACATCTGCACTTTCGATAAGCTTGTTCTGTTTTTATGAACAAGGATATAAATTGATTGTTATTGCTGTATTTTCTTTCATTTTGGATTGGAGGGGATTTAAATTTTGTGACCTGCTGTTACAGAACAGCAAGCAGTGGATTATTTTCAAAGTTATAGGATACTAATATAAAGAAAAGTGTACATTAATTGACAAGATCAGGTCAGTTGCATGTGGCCAACAAAACAATAACAGATTGGAACAAACACCAGCAGGAAGTTTGTACTTGGATCATTCTAAACAGAGTTTCAGGTGAAATAAGAGGGTGTAACAAAATAATAGAAATCAACAAAAGCCTTTTTAGAAAGTTGGGAGGGGGAGAAGAAGAATTGCTGATTGTTTATTATACTGATATTTGAATACTGTTTGCTTATTAAATAAAGAAGCACCAGTTCCTTCAGAATTCCCTAGGAATAACTGGTTAATTTTGGCAGGATGTCCACCAATTTCTGCAGTTAACAGGATAATACATAAGCACAACTGTATTGAATTAGGTAGCTTGCCTTTCAATCAAAGCAGAACAATCTTCTCATCAAATATTCATTTATATTTTATTTCTCAAAAATTATTCTAAAATGTAAGGGATGTATCTTATTTTTTTAGTAACAATGATAAATATACACTGAAAAACTGGATACAAAAGCATATAATATAAAATTAGCTCATGAAACTAATAAAAGAAGTATTACATCAAATTCTTGAGCTCTCAAGAAAAATTTTGTTATGCAACAATGCATCCAAAAGTTGCATGGCAAATAGGTCCCCTAAATCTTCTATAGAATTCAATTCAGATGATTGACCAGTTTATTTGCTTGATGATGTTGGTTTTTTAAAAAAAAAAAAAAAATCAACCTATTTTGCTCAGTACAGATATGCATTGTCAAACAACTATATGCATCTCTAAAAAGCATAAAAAACAGGTTTGTAAGATACTATTTCAGTATCTTTCAGCAAATACAGATCCTCTGTTAAAGATATGCAAGGCAATACATTAATTCATAATTATTCCTCCTTATATTATTGCATCTGCATTAAATTAACAGTCATATTCTTTTCAAACAGAACCTCAGCTTATTGCTGATGATAACACAGATCTATAACCTAAGACTCCTAATTTGATATTCTCTGTACCAAATTGAAGAAATCCTCTTTAGTTGTGACATAAGTCATAAATGCCTGGCTTCCAGCATGAAGGACGTTCTCATTAAATTTTTAGTATATAATTTACAATTTAAAAGTTCCAGAGGCTGCTGCAAGCTATAAAATTAGTAGACAAGCTCTACCTAGAACAAACATTTACTAGCAAATGTTTTTCTTAATAATATTGTCTATAATGTCTTAATAATATTGTCAGAAGCAAATGTTTTTCTTATATAATATTGTCTCACATTTTTAACCCATTCAGTACAGGCGTGTCATATGTGCATCAGCAGCGAACATACCTCACCGTCGGGTGTGTCATATTTGAATCGCTATTTAATTCACTCTACCGGCCAGGCATACCACATTTGACTTTTTAGATAGAACGTTTAATTAATATTTTTTGTTGCCGCTAGATGTAGCTGTATGCCTGTTATGGGGAAATATATCGAAAGTTAAATATGTTTACCTTTATTCCTATGCAATGATTTTTATTTTTGGCATTTTGTTTCGAAGTGCTCTTGCTGCACTGAGGTACTTTTTAGTGGGATAGATGTTCTATAATTAGAGTTTTTTTACTACTCTTATATTTTTTCCTTTTTTAAAAAAAATTTTTTTTATTTACTAAAACAAAATGTATCTTTTTTAACGGCAGTATCGAAAGCAACATCTAAAGGTAGAATATACACAATCTCTAATTCGTTACTGTTGAGTGGCTCTTACTGGTTATTTTATATAAACAAATGAACATGCTCTTGATGCTCTGGAATGCTTTTAATTTAACTTACTAATTTTTCTTATTTTTATTTTATTTTTTTATCGGTTATAGTGGAGTAGATGTTCTATCATTAGAGACTTTTTTATTACTCTGATTTTTCAGGCATTGAGGCGAATATTTTGTATCCCTTAGTGAAAGTTTTTTTATTTTTTATTATTTTTTAATGGCAAAACAAAAGCACTAACTGACAGTAGAAGAACATATACAAATGCTAAATGAGTCAAATTTGCTGAGTAAAATAGCAGCAGATATTATATTCCTCTCACTAATGTTTGCGTACACCCATGTTTCAAAGAATACCATACACTGTCTCATTTTGAAACATTGCTTACTTTTCGTTGTTTGCTTGTTGAATTTTTATGAAAGACTGTTTTAATATTTTTTTTATTTTAATTGTGTGTTGTGTTAAATAAAATCTGCGATTGTTTGGATATTTTTCCATATATATTTATTTGTGGGATAAGGGGAAAATTATATTATTCTAGAATGAGTATTTTATAAAATTTTTAAGGAAAATATAATAATAAAGGCTTAAAATTAATTCTGACGACTACCTGAATGTTCTTCTCATAATGTACCCAAAATTGGAAAAATTGGATGACAAATTTCATTTATACAAATTTTTTTTCAAAGTTAGGCTTAGAAGCCTAAATTGCTTGTCCCCACAGGACGACGCATCCTGTTAACGTACCGTCCCAAGAGAACGCTTTGGTAACAGAGTTTACCGTCACGAATCGGTTAATAATAATTTCTATCTCTAAATTGTTTCCAAAGGACAGAGACTGTCTTTGAACCTGTAGCCATCTTGCTACTTCCATAATAATCTGTTTTTCTTCTAAACAGTTCTTCAGCTCAAAAGAATTTTCTACATTATACTTTGCTAAAAGAGGGAGGGGGTAAAGTTGTTATTTAATAAATACTGGAATCAAATAGTGGATTTGCCAGGAATAATATGCTTTATTTGATAGCATGATGCACACTACAGAAACAGACTGATCATATTGAAATGTGTGACAAATTCAGTTTGCATTTTGCACATTTCATAAAAAAATAAACAGTGTTTCGTTCTTCATAACAGATCATTATTTCAAATCATGTAAAAATAATTTTAGATGCCAGAGTATTATAAATTTCCCAAATTTAATCAAATCATCTATAAAGAGAAAATCACATACAAAACCTAAAATTAGAAATAAACAATATTCTAATAAAGTCATCACACGGGGGAAAGGGGGGCATAGGATGATTCATAACTTCCTCCAGAGTTTTGAAATTTTATAGTATAATAATTATATCAGATACAGTAAAAAGATGTATATCAATATACAAAAAAAAAAAAAAAAAAAAAAAAAAAAAAAAAAAAAAACTTATCTGATTATCTTAATACCAAAATTATTAAGAATTTATATAGATGTTACAAGATTTTTTATAGTGCATTTTTTATTAAAGATCTACTTTTCCTACAAATATACTTTCGTCTCAATGTATAAATTTTATTCTTCTCCCCCCCCCAAATGGAATGAAACTATTTCACAAAAATATATAACAGCCAAAAGAAATCTATTTTTTGAGAATTATGAAAAATACATGCAGAATCAAAAGCAACATACAAATTAAGTATGACAATTTAATAAACAAGGAAAAAAAAAAAAAACTGGATGGAAAGTATTAATTATAAACATTTGCAGGATATTTCATAAATTATGTAGCATTTTTATTTATTTTTATTCTGTTATTTGAAAGTTGTTAGCATTGTTCTTATCAGTTTCATTATTTACCATGACACTTATTAATTTAGCATTTTTTGCTTTTCAGTTCTGATGGCTATGGAGTAGTAGTTCGCTAAGCAATGCACTGTAATCGTGAAAATTCTTAAAAACAGGGAATGCTACATAGAGACAGTTTGTAAATTTCAAGTATCTTTGTACTTGCTCTGAATACCACAAATATATATTTTCAGTAAGAGCTACCTGTCACACATCCTGCAAACCCATAGCCTTGTTTCATGAAAATTTTCTTGGTTGCATGTTCTGATTTTGTTGGTAATGACTATGAATGGCCTACGATATTACCTTACAACTCTTTTTATGGGATTATGGCTAGTCGAACATTTAAATAAACAAACCAAAAATAATTCCCAAACTAAAGAGAGAAATTCAACGAGTTATTGATAAAGTCATCTAAAATTTCCATGGAAGGATCACAATAAACTTCAGCAACAAAGCCTATTGAAACAGAGGTACATGCCTGATAGTTTTTCAATATTATAATGCAGTGCATATAAGGAAAAGCTAAAAGTTTGATTTTTTATGCAACTTTCATTGATTTATTGAATTTTAAAAACATGCACAATTTATTAAACACACTATATAAATATAAAATTTAGAAAACATCTTCAAAATTTACACACAAATACTAAGTTAAAAGCTGCCAGCTATTGCAATCGCAGTTATCAAAAATGCTGAGATAAAAAACACAGAATCTCAAAAAACATAATACCAAATACATAATTTCAGTAATTTTAAGTAACAGTTCAACTAACAATGTAATATTTGTTATGACAAGTATATTTAAAAGAAAAAAATCCTTCTGTAATTTCACACATTTTGAAAAATTTATTTTACTAAGTATTTATTACGGTAGTTGTCAAACTGGAATTATCATTGGAAAAATTACATAACTTATTTCTCAGATTGGGGGAGGGGAAACAACAATTGATTAATTTTAAATTCTGTAACGTACCGTTTGATATCTCATTATTTGTCATCATCATAATAAGCAACATAACTAGAAAGGAAAGCTTTAAAAATAATAATTCAGCATGCTGCAGAACATAAGTGGGAGAGAAAGCATGTAGCAAAGTTTGGTAGACAGAAATATATTGCAGAGTTGGAAAAAAAAATTTCCAATCACATTTCATTTTTTATGATATCTGAATATTTCATAACTATATATTTTTTATAACTATATAATTTAGCAAGATTTTCCTTTTCTGCATTTTTATTCAGATATGAGAATACTTCAGGAGCGGGGAGACTAAAACACTGTCCTAGGTTTATCAAGTTTATTGCTTTCAAAGTAATTCCCCTTCAAAAATCAACCATTTAATCCAATGCTGTTTTCAGTACTCAAAACTCGAATTTATTTTCTGAAAAATAAATGAAAAGCTTTCCGAAAGTCAACTTTCAGAAAATGAGGCAATTTGTTGCCTCCTCTTATTTTGTTGTATATCCTCAACATCATGAAATCTTCTCTCACTTAAATTTAGTACAGAAAAAAGCAGTTAAATATATGAATAGCAGTTGAAACTCTGCAATGCAAAAACTATGGTTCAAGTCATGATGCATAAGCAGCTGAACTGTTCTCATGTTTACCTTTTCAGATGAAACAAATACACCATGCAAGTATTGAAAAATTTAATATTTCCTATTCACTGTCTAAAACAAAGGAAGCATATCCATGATATACAATTCCCTTGCAATTAAGCAATCAGCATTACTTCAACACTGTTACTTTGCCGTGCTTCTTCTCATTTGGTAGAACTTGAGATATGTCACTGATAAGATTCAGCCTCAGTTTACAGTTCAATAACTATGAGTTTGAATAACAGTGGGTATCAATAATACAGTAGTTAATATGCTAACAATTTATCAAAAACAATCAAACCTGCATTTACCTTTATAAGCCTTTTAAACAGACTATTGAAAAAGTATGGTAAAACTTGAACTCCATGATGCAGATTTATGAAATACAATGTAGGTAACATAAATTATGTCTCCTGAGTAATGGTAAAAAATAATTCACTATTCAACAATGACAAAATTTTTATCATAGATAGTAAACTGAACCATATTCTACATCTTCCTAAAAGTTGAAAAGTCCAGCAAATAATGCGAACCCCCAAATAAAAAAATGCACCTGCATCTATAGAAATTTGCAACTGCACATTATTATGTTGAAAGAGACATTTATACCTGAGTAAAACCATGTCTAAATGGGTAAAAAAATTATCAACAAAAATAGTTTATAAAACGTCTGCTGATCAGTGTTGTTGGCAGATATATCCTGAATCCCAATGCATGGTCAGCTGAAAAAATATCTTGCACTGTAACAAAGCTATAGCCATCATGGACTATCTTCTGTTCGCATGTGGCATAATTTTTTCTGACTACATGACAAACTTCCAGTTCTTTTTCATCTAACAATTAGATCATGAACCATAAGGTGCAGACACTTAGAGGGCAATGAGACACAAGACATGAACAGGCTATCTGCTTTTGCAATGCAGAGAAGAAGAAAATAAATAAATAAATAAATAAACTGTCTGAATGCTGAGATTGCTTGGAATCTGAGTAAAAATTACAGGCTGAATAATGATTCTTGTTACAGATTCCATTTGCATTTTGCAGCTGAAGAAGAAGAAGGCTCTATGTTTAAACTTGTTGTTTAAACTTGGTTCTATGTTTAAACAAAACTAGTCTTTCAAATTTACAAATATTATGCTGATTCTTGTGGCCTTAAGACTTCCAATAATTACTTGAAACTTGAAGGTGAATTTTGCTATTCTCTATGACAATGCCACATACTAATGTCATTGTATTCAACTGTCCACAATTTTTTTATTAGCTCAAGAACAGTCACTTATCTGGTATCTTCTCTGATGCAGTTCTAGTATAACCTCACAACAGATGGTAAAGAAATTGCAAAATTATGTATTTCTTGTTGATTTTTGAGATTAAATTACCAATCTCTCTGGCATTTACAATCTAACTTTGTTTAAAGTTTGCATAGAGTTTGTTTAGACCTACACAGTGAATCATATGACAACTACCTGCAGATATGCTTCTCTCTCTCTCTCTCTCTATATATATATATATGCTTTAAACGGAAAAGGTATTCAATTTGTTGCAAACATACAGTAGAATGTACTAGGAAGTAAAGAAAGATCATTTCAGTTTTTCTGACAGTGATTTATCCAAAAACATCTTTATAATCTGATATAAATATCTGTTTCCTTAATTTTAGCTAATGTTTAAGAGAAATGTCTAATTTTGTAGAACAAAAATATAATTCAATATGGAACTAAATGGCAGAATTTAAACTATTTACAGAAATAGCATCCCTCCCCTATTGCCTCCAAAATAGTTTGTGAAAATATATCTTTCAGCTTAACATATGCATCTTTTGGAATAAGGCTCAACCAATAATGTTACTGGTAACACAGGACTATTTTCAAGAAAACAGAAATCCTAAAATGTGGTTTATAACTTCAGAATTGGTTAAATTGAAAGATATTTTTAATCAATGAAAAGTAGAATAATATATTACATGAAAGATATAATCTTACTAAGCAAAAAAGAATATCCCGAAATTTAAAAGAGTATTAATGTTTAATTTCTCTAAAATAATTTGAAGTAATTTAATTAATGAATTATGCATTAATATATATATATATGTGTGTGTCCATATACATATTTTTGAAATTAAAATCAAAATTTTCTTTTTATAAGCAGCATATTTTTGGAAGAGCAATACAAAGGAATCAAATGGGATAATTACTAACTTGTAAAGACTAATTTGTAAAGCAATTAAGCAAACAATGTGATGTTTTAATATAATACATAAACATATCTGTGGAAAACTATGAATGCGGTATCCTCCATATTTATTACAAATAAGCTGCATACCGTTTCTAATATTCCTCCTACTACAAAACATTTGCTAGTTTAAAATAAATTAATTAAATAAAAAAGGCATTAATAAACTCAAACATAGATCCTTCAAAAGAAAAATTTTTCACGAAATATTTTACATAATCTAGGAAAATACATGCTTGCATTATATTTTTATCAGATATAAAAGATGACACTTATTACTGAAATTCTGAACATAACAGATAGTCAACAGGAAAAAGATGCAAAAATGGGGGGGGGGGGAATCATTGATATTCCTAGCCTCTATCTGAAAAGTCAGAGCAGAAAGAAATAATTAAAAAAAAAAAAAAAATTCTAACAATGTTTAAAAATAAGTTCATAAATTAAATTTTTCTGTTTTAATAATCTAAAGATGCTCAGTTCCGTATTTAATTTAGGTCTTCCCCCCCATTACAAATCTCTCAATTGACAGCTTTGTTTAATGTTTCGTCAAATTCTAGGAGGGCAAATATGATTGCAATAACTGACAGCTCTTATAATATTTCCCCCAAAACGGCAATAGAATAGGCTTTTAAAAATGAATTCAAATGCAGCAATAAAATAATTGCTGCAATGAATACCATATTTTTTTTTTTTTTAACACAAGAATCAAAACAGAAGAACCGTTTCACAGCATACTTTTCAAAGAAGTTATTATACGATCCCATGTTAATCAAGGTCAACGTACACAAAAGAAAAAAAAAAATTTAATGTGAAACAGGACACAACTTTATTGCCCACCAACCTGAACGTCCACAATCTGAACAAGAAACTAATTCTTCAGGCATCCTTGTTTTTTTGTTTTCAATACTATCACCCAGACAAAAGTCACAGTATGTACTCGGGAGGGTGCCACTTTTTTCTGAGCTAGGTCTCGGAGCTGGCAGTAAAACAAAACAAAATTAAATGAGGTTGAATAGATGTTCTCTTTGTTAGGAAACAAACAAAAAAAGTAATTATTAAAAAAAGCTAATAAATAACATTTCTTACAGAGCATTTGAAATATTTAAGCATTTAAAACATTTGTATATTCTTGGGGGGGAATAAGCATGATAAATTAAAAAGGTTGAAAATGGGAGAAGCAATACTTAAAATAAAATCCATCCAAATAATAATATAAAACTACAACATGCAATTCTACAAAGCTTGTAGCCTAAGATAAAGTAGCTAAAGAAAGTAACATTTCAGCTCATTAGAAAGCATGCACTGCCTTTATCATTAAATGCATTTTAAGGCAGCACTAAATTATAATTACATTATTCTTTATTTATTTTTTGTGTAACAACTCTTAAAATACTTTATCTTTTTCATATGAGATATTTACTCAAATATCAAACTAAAGTTTTTATGATTTAAGCTGACATTAATATTTATTTATGCAATAAGAAATTGTGTACATTTTGTTTCTGTGAGATTTAATGAAAAATATTTGTAGCTTCAAAGCTTACACAGCTGATGCACTTGTAATTCATTATATACATAATTTCAAACTATTAAAGAAGCTAAAAATAATTTAAATTGCTAAATAGTGCTCACATCAAAATATTTATTTTATTTAATAAGTTTGCTTTCCTTTGCATGTGAAACAGATGCTTACAAGTTTTTAACAAGATATGTTACACATTATTTAAACAATGAAAATCATTGGTTGCACAACAATGAAGCTACTGCAATAACCATCTTACACAATATATTTAAATTCAGAGTAAAATTTAAAAACATAGTGAATAAACAAATAATCCACAAGCCCAAATCCTATGAGTAAAGAGATAATGTACACTGCTCAAAAAAAAAAAAAAAAAGGGACAGTCCTATATTTTCTGATCTACTGGGCCGATTGACAAAATTCAAATTGCGTTCTTCATGTCTTGAAAGCGCGACTTAGGGTATATATTAGATTTATATATAGCACTATTCTAACATAGGTATTTTGACACAAAATCGGACTTTTTCTGAAATAACATACCAATTTTTTTACATATTTGGATTCTACGACTCAAATTACGCCTAAATATGAAATTTTGTAAATTTTGGAGCGAAATTTACGGAGAAATTCACAAATTTATGTTGGCACTTTTTTGTCAGTTGCGCCAAGAATACTTCACTTGGCGAACTTCTTATATATGGCAACCTAGTTTCCTTTCCGTGAAGGAAAAAAGTCACCATCGTTCCTTTTTTCCAAATAATGTTCTTTATATTATATTTTTAATTATAACTTATTAAGTAATTTTTTCTTTTTTGAATTTCATTTTAATTGTTTAAGTTGCACTTTTTTTTCTTCTTTTTTTTTTCTCGATAAACTGTTTTAAAAATTTCTATTTACCTATTCGAACTGCGTAAATAAAGGTGCAACGTTTATTTTTTTTCAAATAGTTTTCTTTATATATTTTTTCGTCATAGTTATTATTTTAGGTAATTTTTAAATTTTTATACTTTTATTTTAATTGGTTGTGTTGCATTGTCTCTTCAGATAATTGTTTTAAAATTTTCTATTTATTCCTTCGAATTGAGCATTTTTAATATATTTATTATTATAAATTTTCCAGAATTTGATTTTATTTATTTGAATTGCGTTTCTTTCGGAGGAATACTTTGTAACCCGGACTACGATGAGTTTGAAAACTGCATATATTAAAAGAGAAAATACAGTAAAGCACAATTAACACGTCTTTCAATGTTCCGTTCAGAAAAGATATATATAAATAAGAGAGATGTATAACCGACATTTTAACTTAGGATGAATTGCATACACTGCTTTAAGCAGTTTTATCATTGTGCCCATTGCTTTACACAATTTTATCCTACATTCTTAAATATTATTCATATTTTAGTCAAATATTTTACTTTTGAAATCGTAAGAATCAAATATCATAAGTTTAAAAAGTTTTAAATTAAAAAAAAATACAAATACTAAATTTTACCCAAAAATTTATTTTTTCTTCTCTTTTTCTTCAGGCATTCTACTTTATTCTTGCTCTTTTTCTTTAGGCATTCCGCAACTATATTAAAAAGCATCTAAATTTTCGAAATATCTTGATATTTTTTACAATCATTTTAAATAAAGTTATCGCCTTCCATTTCATAAAGGCCCACACACGGCCGAGCGGTAAAGTCGCTGAACACTGGTAGTTCACTCCGGGGTCCGAATCCCAGTAAACGGGCTGGTTGCATGAGCGTTTTCGTGGATTTTCCCATATGTACCGTGTATGCTAACTGGTTTCCCTTAGAAAGTTCTTCATGAAGTATTTGGTCAAAGCCTTTATCAGTCTTTAAAAGCTAAACATTTTGAAGGTATGGAATGAAAGGAAAGACTGGTTTCATCAAGAGGTTTTGGTTTATTTAATTATGACAAAGCACACTAGGGCTATCTGCCTAAGGGGAGGGATGCCTTCGTGGAGGACTTTCTAAGGAAAACTGGCACGTTACACATGGGGAAAACCACGAAAATGCCCATGCAGCCAGCCCGTTCGCGGAATTCGGACTGAACTACCAGCGTTCAGCGACTTTACCGCTCGGCCGCTGTTTCATCAGGAGAGGGGGGGGGAAATAAAAAAAAACGTCTTTAGGTGACATCCACATACATCACTGGATAAACTCCTGAATATTCAAATAATTCGAATGAGAAAATCATGGGACTCTCAATTTATGATACGATATGATGTTCTATAACGTAATTTAAATTTATACAACCATATAGTCTAAAACCAGTCGCTCTTCACTTTAATCTGCAATGATATCGTTTTTGTCTTTTCTGTTAACCACAAGCTCAATTGATGGTATTTGCTGGTGTACACGTTCAAGTGTTTTTTCTTTAAACACCTAAATTCTTTGAAATATCCTGAAAGTATATTCAAAAGCGTCCAACTTTTTGAAACATCTTGGTATGTCTGACAGCCAAAAATTCCCTGCAAATTTTTGCTTACTTTTCTCCCTAATTTTCTTCTTTCCTTCTACAGTTATTTTCAGTGCACACACAAGAAAATTAAGATTTTTCGATTCCTAGACTTCCATAAATTTTGCATTCTTGTCAATTTTTAAAAATATCAATTACATGAATTGTGTTTCAGCTGAAGACAGCTTTTCATTTTCTAGTCATTTTAACTATAAATAAAGTTTAAAGCAAAGTCCAAAGGATAAATATTAATTAAAAGAGTTTTTGCTAAATGACAAAGAAAAATAAACAGTCCAGCATGGTTATTGTGTATTACGAGTAACCCGATTCTTATATCAGCTGAAACATCTAAATCATATTAAAGATCATGTTTTTTTATACAATCTATAACGCGAGAGAAAAATTAGCTTCTTAAAAAAAACATTCTTTCTAAGAGGATTAATATAAAAGATTATATTTATATATATATTTTTAAAGCTGGGACTTGAACCAAACTGTCAAATTTTTAAAGTTTAATTTACATGGTGGTTATAATTAAAGTTCCAATTTGAAATGGCCATAAAAGGAAAATTACCGTACCAAATGTTATCAAAACTTGGGAATCGTGTAAAGGAGGTTACGAGAATTATTTTCCGCGGAAATAAAAGAGTTCAAAAACTCACCACCAGGGGAAAATGGCACTGTATACAAGATTGATAAATGAAATAAGACACGAAAACATCTGTTTAAAATATGTTTAATATTTTCCGAAACGTGTTACAAAGCATGTTCAATGTAGCGTCCAGCATTTTCCGAAAGCAAGTTAAATCCTGTTACTGCATTCTCAACAGCAGCTCTTAGCATATCAGGAGGAATGTCACGGATATGTCAGTGTATCACATTTTTCATTTCTGCCAAATTATTTAGATTATCACCATAAACAGTGCTTTTGAGAAAACCCCATAGCTAAAAGCCACAGAGGTTGAGGACTGGTGGGAAGAGGGGAAGTGTTGGCCTATAAGACGTTCATTCGTGAAATGTTGCCTAAGTAACTGTGCGACACACGTCAGGTGGGGCCCAGCCCTGCATAAAAATCGTAGTATCTAAAATGCCATGTTACTGCAGTTCATGTATCACGAAACATTTTAACATTGACTCTAAGTGAGCTGCAATCACAGTGGTCCAGCTGTCGACTGCTCTTCAGAGAAAAATGGTTCGGTTATAACAGTAGCTGTCATTCAACACTAAACAGTGTGGAATGACTGCTATGCAATCGAATGCAGTAGGAGAATGCAATGGAACTAGATATATAACATGAGGGTTTTCTTTGGCCCAAATCGATTAAAAGCGTTCTGAATCAGTATCTTTATGTTTTAGGGCCAAATTCAGGTTTCAAAAATTACAAATTAGCGATCTGTAAGAAAATGATTTCCAGATTGTACGGACTTGTGCGAGTGATTTGCGATCTCACATTTTCTAATCGCTAATTCGTGGTTTTCACGGACGAATTTCTCACTTACATGGATGGCGCACTCAACGTTTATCGAATTTAACGCCTTTAAATGGTAATTTGCTTACTTCAAAGTTTCTTAAGGGTATACAACATATTAAACCTGTGTAACAAAAGGTTAAGTTAGATTCCGACCCATATTTCTATTAATAATATTGCATACAGCGCCATTTTCCCCTGGTGGTGAGGTTTCGAACTTCCTTTTTTTCCCGGAAAATAAATTCCTATGACCTCCTTTACACGATTACCAAGCTTGATAACATTTGATCCAGTAGTTTTTGTTTTCTGATCGTTTCAATGTAACACTTTAATTATAACCACTCCGTATATTATTAAATTTTCATTTGAAGCTATGCGTTATATGTATACCATACGTAAATTTTTCGCTTTTATGGAAAAATAAAGAATCAAAGCAAATATACTTAGGATAATGGACCAAAACTGAAAAAATTTCTCCTTCCTTCGAAAATAAAATTTTGAAATTCGACCTTGAATTTAT